ACAGACACACTGTCCAACATACAAAGACATCTGCTAGCTATCTGAATAGTCATATTTATTATAAACGGTGCTTTTCAACCCTGGTTTCTTGGTGATTTGGGCCCGTTCAATTACTGTATAAAGATTATGTTTTTAAAGTGAGACCATAGGCTAGAGTATGATACTTATAAAAAAATACAGCCAAACATTTAAGCGCTACTATTTACACACACACACTATGGAGGAGAATATCTAACTGTAGCTTGTGAACATTCCCTTATCTGATTATTTTGGGTCAGAAAACAATTTTGAACAAAATTATGCTGGATATTGAAGCGTTAGTTAAAAATAAAAGGTATTAGTCGATAACAAACCATAATATATTACATTTTGATAAAATTTTATTTTAGTAAAGCTATGACCGTATCACCCACCACAAAGTTTTGCGATTGTGGTTGAGACCTCGCAGAGATTACGCCAATATTAGGGCTCTCAAACATTGTCTGTTTGCACTATGCCTGACACTTAGTAATCAAAAGGCATTTCTGTAGGTTTGTCAAAACAAAGAAAATGTTATCATGGTTTTAAACACAACACTATCTTGTATCATCGTCCATTTTTATCATGCTGATATTTGTAGAAAGTCAATTTATAAAAGAAAAAAGAACCGGTTAATGGTCTTGGTTGGTTGGTTGTTTTATTTGTACCCGTCGGTAAATTAAGTTCGAGAGAACAAAGTTTAGGCAGTTTCTCAAACATATAGGCGATAACACCATACAAACAGAACAAGACACTACAATAATTTACTCCATCTTAATACTATTCACAAAAGGTCTTGTGTCAGAAAACAGCAAATATGTGCTTTTACATTTTTGTTAAAACTTTAAAGTAAGATTATCCTTTAAAAGTGTAATACAAATCGTAAAGAGTATTTGATTTTTTGGGGAACGTTGCAAGCTAGTGTCATTAAACTTTATCTTTTTAAGGGGAATTAAATATTTTTTAAAACGCATTTCATTAGCTAAAATCAATGTCTATAAATATGATCTCAGTGGTGTAAACTTAGCTCTGACAATGATCTGACGGGTGAGTCACAGAGGCTGCCGTGTCGTTCCCCCATCTTGAAAAACTATAATAACGGAGAGGGACAAAAAGCACTAGTCCACCGCAACGCGTTTTCATTGAGAGCCGGCTGACTGAAACGGACGCAAGGAGGTCAGTGAGAGGCGCTTGAAAGGCTGCACTGCTGCACGATACTTCATAATGCAATCCTCATCGCCATGATAATGCTTAAAAATTGAATCTAAAAGGAAGGGTGACCGGCAAATTTAAAAACAAGGGTAAATGTCGGGACCGCTTTTCCCAGGTGGATAGAGGTAATGAAGGAGAAAGACTTTGAACAGAACGTTGAAGTCCTGCTTTCTTATCGACAATGGTCTAAATTACAAGCTTTTTCATTCCGTGGTTGTGTAATTCATTATATAGACGGCGTAACGGTAGAATGTGTATAGTTAAACTCGAAAAAGTGCTATTGGACGACATGTCCTAGCTTCTTGGCACATAACGGTCACCGTAATCACAACACGCATTTAAAAAAGCGCGGCGTACTATGCGTTTGAATGGCAAATAAAATTTCACCGCTAGATGGGTGAAATTCCTACACGGCGTGCCTTTTAAGGACGAAGCTGTAGGGTCTTTAACAAAAAGCCTCCAAAATGGAGGAGGTCAAAGGGCATGTTTCTGCTATAGAATCATCGGCTCTCCACAAAGTCTGTTCATGTCGTCAACACCAAAAAGCTGACATTTGAAAATTCTACATATATTTTGTGTAGATAACCGATAACCGTATATTCTCAGTGAAGGGTTTCACTTGTTTCCACAATGAATAAGGATAGTTTGGGAGATACAAGAAAAGTAAAAATGATATATCTTATACGTAAAAATGGTCATAGCTACCGTAGAAAAAGTAAGATCATGCTTTGAATTAAGATGAGTAAATTAAATATTCGGTCAAGACCAACTTTACTTATGGAGCATCATGGACAACACTGCGCCTCTGAAAATGTGTGGTGATTTTCTAAATGATACAGCTTAATCTAAATAAGTGCAACGTAGAGTCGTGTGATTTCTTTTAAAACAACAAAAACAAACTTTGACAACTTGTTTCATGTGGCATGGACAAAAATAATGTTTGAAATATTTAGTAGAAATAATTAATTTTTCTTACATTTTAGTATAAATAATAGCTTTGGTTAAATTTATGCAAACCCATTTATATCATACAGAAGTTTTGTAAGATAAACAGATGATAGGACTTTAATAAAAACTTTAAACAGTCTTTTAATTTTAAAAGATCTAATTGAAACTTTTAAGATTATGCTTTTAAGTGAATTTAGAATAAAAATTTAGAATAACATGACATAATTGTGGCCCAGTGGCTCATCTGGCCCGTAACTCCTCCGTCTCTGTGAGGGTCTGAACCTTCATCTCACCCTATCACTAACGGATATGAGAGGTCTTTGTTTATGACAGCTTAAACTATTTGCTTTTTGGATAGTCTTTATCATTGCCTAGATCTAGTTTGAATAGAAGGAGTTTTTAAGTAATTATACATGTAATTGATATATTCTTTAGATAAAACTATGTTTAATTTGTACAAATACATTTTAGTAGCATATGTGTTATTATTCATTATAGAGTTATATATCATTTTATTTATAATCATTTGATTTAAAAATAGAGATTTTATGCTTTGTGAGTGCAAAACAGCTTTATTATAAATTATATTCAATTATTTACTGAAAATGTAAAAATCCAGTTTTCTCTGACGGTAGTGTTTTAGGTGTATGGTATAGAATACGCAGTTACAGTACAAAAATTGTTATGGCTATATTAATAAAAATACTTTTAGGTCGGCATTAAACAAAATCATTAGAGTAATCTTTAAAAGAAATAGAAGATATGAATGTATTAAAACTATAAAGATTTAATTTAAACAATCTTTTCATTTTAAAAGCTTGAAACTTTTACGATTATGATTCGAAATAATTCTAGTACGAACAAAACTTTGACTCGGCGATGCACAGAGACTCATCTGCTCTGTCACTATCCTGAAGCTAATGGGTGGCCGACCTTTGGCATCACAGTTTCTAAAATGTCTTCATTGGTGCTCTCGCACTAAAGATAGACCTATGTGGTGATTTTCGCAGAGATACTACTTAAGGAATTATTGAACATTTCACACAATGTGTGAGATGACTTGTGAGAGATCGAATTTTTTACATGCACCCTGATAAATAAAAATATAGTCAAGTTTTTCCATAGACCGCTGATGTAGCATATTTGTTTTATGAATTAATTTAATTTATTTTAAAACATCTGGTATTTTTAAAAGATATCATTTAAACTTTTAATGATTATACTATGAAGTAAGATTAACACTAATCAAACATATGGAATGTCTCCGCTGAACCGACACACACACACAATGCATGCCTGTAAAGCGAGGGGGAGAGAGGATCACTTGTGGGAGATCTTAGTCTTAAGATCTTAGTCTTATTTTTGAAATGAACGATAAAAGCATTTAATTGATATACTTTTAAATGAACAATGTTGTTCAACTTCAACTCAGTTAGTGTGAAATGTTATATTTGTAAATTATTAATTGTACATTTATTACCATTTCATTTATATAGAGCTTAATGTTTAGTGTGAAATATATCGTCCTCACTTGAAGGGGTATAATGTAACACACACACACACAGAAAATAAGTGTGAGAGGGTCCCTCTGACTTAGAGGATTCAGAGAGGTCTAAAGTCATTTATTGCCATTTATGACACAGAGACACAAACACACACACACACCACTCTGGCCATGCATGGGGAGAGAGAATCACAGGGAGATCTTCACAACTTTAAACTCATCTTTTGTAAACCACATAAGTATTGTATGGACATCTTAGGAACTACTTTGTCGACCAGCTGGAAAAAGTAAGATGGTTTTATTTTTGATAGACTGTTGGTCAACTTATAATCTATAAAACATGTTGTTTTATTTTACAATGAATGATAAAGCATTTTATTGATATTCTTTTTAAATGAACCATGGTTTTAACTTTAGTTAAAGTTTTAACTTTTTTTCTGTTTCAGTACAGGATGCAAGAATGTAATGCTGTTACAGACACACAGACACAAACACACAGTCAGAAAACACAGATGCTGTTGTTGATGAGAGGTTTTTCAACATCTTGATGAAAATGACTGATAAAGTAAGATGCTTTTTCAGATTTAAATCTAAATGTTTTTTCCTTATAATCTATAATATACGGTTTCATTTTTTAGCTCGTGTAAGATTTTTCTCTGGGTGAAGGAATGTTCAGCCATCTCACACTGCGACTGTCACAGGGCCGAAGGCCGGTGAGAGAATCATCAGCACTCAAGTAAGCCGCTTTTATTTTACAGACCATATTGTGATACGGGCAATATTAGAAAATTATTTCATCAATGCAACGGCTGAATGGGATGGGGAGTTCTGTAGAACAGAGACCACCCATTTTATAGACGGGTTTTCTGGTATGGGAGGGGGGCTACATCAATGATAAAACCAGACAACCGGGGTCAAACCTGTCCATTTTGATCGATCGCTTCCTGGGGTCACTAAGGGGACAAAACCACACATGTTCCCACACATGTTTTTTGGATTAAAAAAGGTCATCCGGTCAAACCACACATGTTCACACACACACATGTTTTTTGGATTAGAAAGGTCAACGGGTCAACACCACCTGTCCATTTGATTGATCGATAGGTCAAAGGTTAATCGATATCCCAGACACGGTATGTCAAAGGTCAAAGCTTTATGACTACTTCAAAGAGCGAATCCGGAAGGGCAAAGGTCAGCCCCGCCCACCTGTCAATCAAAAAGCCATAAATCATTTTGACACAAGGTAGCCTATTATAACTACTCTCATTCACTCATCACAGGTCTATGCTAGTTTAGTGAGTATCAAGGTTTATTTTTATTATATTAAAGTCTCACCTGCTCTCCCTGTAGGCATAGCAGCAGGATCATTTGTCTGAACCAGAGAATAAAAGGCCATGGCAATGAAAATGAATGCCAAAGAAACACCTACTCCAACCACAATGGGAATGTCATGTTTCTCAATCACAGGCAACCAAGTCTGAGATTTCTCCTTTTCTCTGAGGAAAAGAGGGTCATGTGTTATTTAAAAATCACAAATCAAACAAAGCATGAAACAAAAAGCAAATTTCAGCAAATTTTCAATACAAATTAATTAAAGTTTCAACTATTTAAGGATCTACGTACATAGAAGTCTTGACTAAAACTAAATGTATTGTCATTCTGTCATGTTCAATAATAGTTTGTTAAGGTTGAAAGAAATAATACTTTTTGTTTCAAAGTTATTGACTTAACTATTAACTAAATGACTATTAGGGTGTATATATCATAATCTTATACTATAAAAAAAAGACCAAAATAACTACTTTAATTATGAAATATTTTAGGGGGGAAGGGGGTTCAGCTGATAAGCTGATAAATGAAGAAGCTAATTTGATAACCAACCTGTTATTATTGTCAGTGGTCTTCATAGGGGCCTGTGAGGTGTTTTTCTTGAGTGATTCAACTAGTTCTGTGTCATTTGTCACCGATGATTTCGTACCTCCAGACTGCTTAATGCTTTGACTCTTATTCTGATGCTGTTCCACAGTGAAGTTGTCCACATCCATTAAAGGTAAGCCTGGAGTCTGGGAAAAGCTTTGAATGTTTGTAATCTGAGAATATGAGTCTGCAGGCGAGGGGCTGTTTGTGATTGGATTCATTAATGGAGGTTTAGTGACCTGGTCCGTTGGTTGGATATGTGGATGTGTATCCTGCATAAAAGTCTCTTTGAGTTGGGGAGATGTTGTTGGTTTGACGGGCACAGCAGTTGGATTTTGTGTTTGAATAAGTTCTTTAATGTTATCATTACTTCCTACGCTAATGCCAGTTGGCTTCAGTGAAATCAATTCTGTAGTGTCTTGGGTAGATTCAAGATTCAAATATGTTGGTGAGTCCTCCACAAAAGCATTCAACACTGCAACAAACAAAGAAAATAAGAATGAGGAAAAAAACAACCCAACGCACCAAACAAACAGAAAGAAAAAACTCCTTAACAGTGTTGTAGTCGAGACCACCTCACTCGAGTCGAGACCGAGACCAGAGAGAGTCGAGTCCGAGTCAAGACCGAGTCCACAGAGAGTCGAGTCCGAGACCAGAGACGGTCGAGTCCGAGTCGAGACCGAAACCAGTGAGGGTTGATTACCTAATTTACTTTCATTTACTTAGAGAAATCCTTTTTCTCAATTCCGAGTCCAAATGCACACGAGTCCATGACAAGACCAAGACCATTAAAATATGGTCTCGAGACCGAGTCCGAGACGAGTCCGAGTCTCGAGTACTACAACACTGCTCCTCAATGCCAGGGATTCTCAACTCTGGCCCTCAAGATCCAATTTTCTGCAGAGTCTAGCTCCAAACCTGATCAAACTCACCAGCCTCTAACCAAATATGGTCTTATTATTGGGAGAAATTTGGGTCTGTGACAATCTGATTTGTAATGCTGCCCGAATAACGGTAGATCCTTTGAGCGCTCCTGATGACACTGTGAAGTGATCAAGTATTCCAATATATACAAAAAGCTTTCATTAAATTCCTCCATCCTCCTTTTCTTTCCTTGCAGCCTTCCCTCACATCCTACAGGTGATGAAGCTGAGACTCCAGGAAAGGAAGTGAAGATGTACAAGAAGCACCCACAGTGTTACGTTTTTTTTTTTTTTTTTTTGCTGGCTTTGCAGGCTTGCCTTCAAGTGGTTTTGCTCTATCTTTCTAGTACAACCTGATTAGACCTTGATTATTTTGTTCAGGTGTGTTTGATTAGGGTTGGAGCTAAACTGTCCAAGAAAGTGGACCTTGAGGGCCAGAGTTGAGTCCATTTTCTAAGCTAGGTTAATATCCTTACAAGATATCTTTGTATAAACTTCAGTTGTCCACTGAAGCGATTCTTTTATCTCTGTATTGTTCCGAATCTTTGAGCCATGGAAAAAGGAATTAGTAAATAGTTCTTGTTCACTCTCTGGAACCTGGAAGGTTAGAGAAACAAACAAATTCAGACCCATAATTGTTACAAGATGCATTTGTTGCAAGGCAATCTTTTAAATGCGCTTAACCATTGAAAATGGTGGAGAATGTTGATGAAAATGCCAAAGTACTTGCAAAACAATCACAGAGTCACAGTTACACAGTCACACATGTTATGAGGCTAATGTCACAGATGATTGATTGTACCAATATGATTCTGCATACTGCATTACTCACAGTGGTTATAATCATTTTACTCAGTGCTTCTTTATCACGTAGGACATCAGAGTCAGCTTTAAGTCAGAGCATTAGAATGATTAGATCAAACCGAGATTCAAACAGGAAACTGATGTACAGTATATTAACTGGTGGCATGAGAACTGTTAATAGTTAAGTTCTCGTGCCTTTTGCCCACCTGTTACAGTTATAATGGCGCTTCTTACATCCTGACCGACTCTGTTTTTGGCAGTGCAGTGGTACTCTCCTGAATCAGACTGGTGAATATTTGAGATGACTAAGGTCCCATTATCTGTAAAAATTACATTTAAAATTTTAAAAACAAGGGAAACCCTGCATCATATTAAACCACAGTCTGTTCCGTATGTAACACACCATCAATGCGTATCTGTTGTGGGAGTGAGACCAGAGACTTTGGATCAGACAGTTGTGAGTTTCGTATCAAAGCGGTTCTAATCCAAGTATATTTGACAGGAAAATCTCCTACGGCTTTACAAGGGAGTCTAACAGGAGATCCCTCTGAGACTGTGAGTGATGCAACGAAGGAAACAATGACTGGTTTCACTGAAAACAAGAAGAAATACAAAGTTAGATCAGGGGTGAATTCCAATCGGAAGTGCGCATCCCTTTTCCCTACTCACTCTGAAGGGCAGAGCCCTTGAAGAGGAGACGTAATTTCCTGTAGTGTTATCATGTCCATGAGCCCATTAGCTGTTCTTACAAGAGAAATGTATTATTGCTGTTAATATAATTGTTGCAAATATATAGAGTCATTTTAAAATTCGGTTTACACACTCACCTAAAAGATTATTAGGAACACCATACTAATACTGTGTTTGACCCCCTTTCGCCTTCAGAACTGCCTTAAATCTACGTGGCATTGATTCAACAAGGTGCTGAAAGCATTCTTTAGAAATGTTGGCCCATATTGATAGGATAGCATCTTGCAGTTGATGGAGATTTGTAGGATGCACATCCAGGGCACGAAGCTCCTGTTCCATCACATCCCAAAGATGCTTTGTTGGGTTGAGATCTGGTGACTGTAGGCACCATCTTAGTACAGTGAACTCATTGTCATGTTCAAGAAACCAAACTTGAACTGATTCAAGCTTTGTGACATGGTGCACAATTCTGCTGGAAGTAGCCATCAGAGGATGGGTACATGGTGGCCATTAAGGCATGGACATGGTCAGAAACAATGCTCAAACAATGACCAATTGGCACTAAGGGGCCTAAAGTGTGCCAAGAAAAACATCCCCCACACTGTTAAACCACCAGCAGCCTGCACAGTTTTAACAAGGCATGATGGATCCATGTTCTCATTCTGTTTACGCCAAATTCTGACTCTACCTTCTGAATGTCTCAACAGAAATCGAGACTCATCAGACCAGGCAACATTTTTCCAGTCTTCAACTGTCCAATTTTGGTGAGCTCTTGCAAATTTTAGCCTCTTTTTCTTATTTGTAGTGAAGATGAGTGGTGCCCGGTGGGGTCTTCTTCTGTTGTAGCCCATCCGCCTCAAGGTTGTGCGTGTTGTGGCTTCACAAATGCTTTGCTGCATACCTCGGTTGTAACAAGTGGTTATTTCAGTCAAAGTTGCTCTTCTATCAGCTTGAATCAGTCGGCCCATTCTCCTCTGACCTCTAGCATCAACAAGGCATTTTCACCCACAGGACTGCCGCACACTGGATGTTTTTCCCTTTTCACACCATTCTTTGTAAACCCTAGAAATGGTCGTGTGTCAAAATCCCAGTAACTGAGAAGATTGTGAAATACTCCAGCCCGTCTGGCACCAACAACCATGCCACGCTCAAAATTGCTTAAATCACCTTTCTTTCCCATTCTGACATTCAGTTTGGAGTTCAGGAGATTGTCTTGACCAGGACCACACCCCTAAATGCATAGAAGCAACGGCCATGTGATTGGTTGATTAGATAATTGCATTAATGTGTAATTGAACAGCTGTTCCTCATAATCATTTAGGTGAGTATATGCTTAATATGTATGTGTGTTCTGTCTCTGCTCTCAACTTTAAAACTTGCCATCTCTTGTTTGGACACTGTAAGCCGTCAGCACTAACCTACCTACTATTAAACTAATTTCTGACCTATGAAACCTATTTAACTTCATATGAAATGTATTACGTGGAAAACAAACAAAGCAAAACAAATGATTCTGTTTATACATTAACTCGACCTCTCCCACCCTCTAGCTTTTTAAAATGAATTGTAAGAATTTTCCACCCGGGACACATGACCATAAACCATAAATTTACTTCCTTGAAGTCACCATCGCAAACCCTTCATTAATGGACTTGTGGAAGCCCTTTATGAAGGGATTCAGGCGTTCTTTTGTTTAGAATTCCCCTAACAAATGGCATCCCCTTCGCAAAGTGTCCTTTCAAGGGCACAAAAGCAGCTGTTTGGAACTTGGGCCAGTTGCCATTCTGTTGTAGTAAAGTCAAGACATCACAAATATCCTCTACAAAAAAAGAACTAAAGTGGTATTATAATAGAGTGACATATTAGTTGATAATACCATGGTACAAAAATGATTACCTTAATCACAGAGGTGCCCAGGGGTCAGAAAGTAAAAGTCCTGCCATATGTTTATTCCACACATGAACTCAACCTGCTGATTTCACTAATTATTTATCTCCTGGCTGAAAAACTGTGCTAATTAGCAAATCCAGGTGATCTTGAACAAAATACTGAGGAGGACTTTTACAACTCTGCTTAAAAATAATGTTTTCACATCCTCTTATCTCAATGAATACCATTGAACATACCAAAAAATGTCTCCCTGAGGAGGGAATGGATATGTTTCGTCGAAGGAGTTTCCAACGAATTGGGATCACGCTAGGGAGATGAATTGTCTTAGAGTGAACTAAAACAAGCCAATGAACATTGGCATGCAGGACTTGCATTGCACACCAGACCTGTCCAGTTCTCCGCGAAGGTACAGCAAGCATGGTGAGATTTCTCCGTTCCCTCCTCAGGGAACAAAGGTCATCATGCGTAACGGAGACGTTCCCTTTCGTTAGCTTTAGCTTTGCGCTAAAGCTTTTTTAGCTTCCTTAGCTTTCCGCCAAAGCAGTTTCTTAGGTTTCTTTACGGCGGGAGATCACAAAGATTGTGGAAGTGCCGCCACACCAACACAGAGAGGTCTCGAGGAAACAGCAGACTCGTTGAGCGTGAAGATATATTGCAACCTTGAAGCTCATCCACTCAGAAGACACAACCGGTCGGCTCCGAAGCAAAAAGCATATGTCCGTGCACTCTATTCTGCTTTATACCTGCACTGGTATGGCAGGTGGGGCGCGGAATGCAAGCCTTGCATTCCAATGTTCATAGGCTCATTTTAGTTCAATCTAAGACTATTGTTCTCCCTAGTGTGATCCCAATTTTTTGGAAACTCCTTCGACGAGACATAGGATAGGGCTGCACGATTAATCGAATTTTAATCACGATCACGATTTTGGCTTCCCACGATCAAATTTGCGGGATATCGAGCGATATTTAAAATGCAAAGTTTTTTTTTTTTTTTTGCAAAGCCAATCTAGCGCTCCGTAAACCACTGTCTGATCACGTGCCTCCACGAGCTCCAGTGCGCAAGAGAGACCGAATCTGTGTCCCAATGTGAAGGCTGCATCCCCCGAAGGCTGTATTTGAAGGACGCTTGCCCGTATTTGAAGACCGATTATGTCTGCGCGCGAGCTACAGTGAACAAGAGAGACGAGTGTTCAAGCGTGCTCAAAAGTGCGCGAAGGATAGCATCCTCGAAATGAATTCCGGCTTCCTAGGATCCTTCCTTGACATTGAGAAACACCTCGAGTGTGTCTGTCTGCGTGCGAGCGACACGGAACGACAGCACGCGAGAGATACCGGTTGTGTCTGAGACTGAGTGACAGCGCGTGAGAGAGACCGAGTGTGAGCATTAGTAAATTGCATTAGTAAATTGGTACATACACACTACATAGTAATATATAATTTCTATATCAGAGGCATGAAAGTTCGATTAATGGACTCCAATAATCAGAAGGCTAATACAAACATCTTGTTTTGAACTATTGTTTAATAAATAGAAATAATTCGACCACTAAACGTTCATATATGGATGATTAAATGGATTAAAATGTATGCAGTAAGATTTCACAACTAATCACTGACACATTTTACATTTCTTAAGTGTCAAATAACAAAGGACTCTGAATTTCATGCATTAATCGAACTAGTGCATAGTTCTGCCTTGACATGTTCTCATTTGGTTACATTCTGTTATAGAATATTTGTTTTTTATTGATTGTATATTTTGGGCGTTTTATTCACATCCATTATTCAGGTACAATGCAAGTTTATAATATATATTTACACGAAGTAAAATGTAAAATAGTGCCCTGTTGAAGTTTTGCTACATTTTATTTATTGTTTTCTTTATTTTTCTTTATTCTTTAAAGAGATGCACTGAATTTTGGTGAATGGGAGCACTTGTTTTATTTTAATGCACATATAGATTAGCAGGAATGTAGCACAATATGGATGTGAAAGCAGTTATAATTAGACTATGTGACAATAAAATAAGTTTTGGTTAAAATCAACAAATAATCGTGATAATTAATCATGATCTCAACATTGATCAAAATAATCGTGATTATCATTTTGGCCCAAATCTTGCAGCCCTAACATAGGAGTTCCAGAACGAAAGGGAACGTGTTACTGTAGTACTATGGAACTTTTTTTTAGCATTCTTGTACTTTTTTGGCAAAGAAAATTTACCAGCAACTCGAAGAGTCATAGTTTTCTCATCGTGACCCAGTGCATTGGAGGCTGTGCATGTGTAATGTCCTTCATCATGCTTTCTCACTGATGAAATGTAGAGAGTTGTGTTTCTCAACCTGGGAACAAAATGAATTGACAAAGCACCACCCGGTAAACAAGAAGCACAATTATAGTTAATAAACTCTTCATGCAAAACTTACCCCATGATAATTTTGCCTCCAGTTTGGACAGACTGACCTAGCTTTAACCACTTGATTGAAGGAGCAGGGTGTCCTAACACTTGGCAGTGAATCGTCACTTCAGCTCCTACAGGAGACGTTATCACCGTTGGCCAGATAGTCACGGATGGAGGTTCTGAAATAAAGGCCACAGGCCAGATTGACCACGGAAAAGAATATAATAATGAAATGAACTTAGCAAACAATAAATGGAGATGTCAAAATTCACAAATTACTAGCCAATGTTTTATGGGTTTGTGAAACAGCCCTTTGGTTCATGATAGAACTACAGATATTTCAGAACATTGCGGGATGTGGATGTGAAAACAGATTTTTTTTTTATTGTTGAATTTAATTTTATTATCTTATTTCTATAATCTGTATGTATGTTTTTTTTCTTTTCTGTGAACGCACGCACACATGTACAGTATTTCTCTTCTGTAAAGCACTTTGTAAACACTGTTTTTAAATGTTACTTCAAAATTCCTAAAAACTTAATATATTTAATAATATAATTTCATTTTATATGTGATTAATATTATAACAAATCAATTTAAATTAATTTAAAAACATTTTATAGTATATACAAAAATAGTATTAAAAAAAAGTATCATATCAATATCATATTGATTTGGCAGGTGGAACAATGCAACATGTATTGCATGAAGAGGTTCTTCTTTAAGACACACATGCGAATCTTTGCGAATTTATACATAATTTAAATGTCCATTATTAATAGAATGCACACTTAGCCTTTGCATGTTTCTTTATTGAATATTCTGGCTAATTTTGCTATTTGTTAAGGTATCAAGATGAGTTTAGTACTCAGCTCCATTAACTGAATTTTAAAAAAAAAGTATTATAAAGTATTAAAAAGTACTAAAAGTCATTCTGCAGATTATGTCTGGGCCTGATGGGTTTCCATAGACATAAAAGCACTTCCTGGTTTATATGTGAAGTGAAATGTTTATGATCTTATAGTTCAGAGTAAACCTTTCTCAGATAACATCTCTTTAGTTACTTTCACATACTTCCACAAAGTCAAATAACTCCTTACCATGAACCTCTAGGAAGATTTCTTTCGAGGTAATAGCCCTTTTGAGAAGGGAATTAGATGCTCTGCAGAAATACCATCCACGGTCTGTCTCTTGTACACTGAAACACAGATACTCACAGTTAAAAAGATAATAAAGATATTGTACTATATTTTACATTTTTAATGTTTTAACTTATTACAAGATTAAATTTGCAGAAGGCATGCATAATTAAAATATACACAAACATGACAGTTCAGCCAAAGCAGAGTAAATCAAGGCTGTCCAATCCTGCTCCTGGAGGGCCACTGTACTGAATGAACTGCAGCAAACACATCTACCCAAAACACCTGTGGAAGTGCAGGTCTCCATTAGGATCAGCAGTATAATGCAGTCCTGGGTGGAGGAGTTTGTTGTTCTTAAACCAAGACACTTGTGCTTGAGGTCTGCTGTGAGGAGGCCTACAGGAGAGAGTCGCAGATTCACCCTTCCTCACTGTTAGGTTGGCAGGTTCAACCATAAAGGTCCAATCCATAACTGCGTGAGAAAGGATGAAAAGGTATGCTAAATAGAGGACAGGTGTGAGCAGCTACCACCTGGAACGAAAGTAGACTCATCTGAAGTACCTGCAGGTAAGAGGTAGGCTGGTTGGGATTTCACTTTCTCCTTCTCATTGCGAGCTTCACAGAAATACAGCCCCTCATCTTCTGACAAAACTCTCCTAGGAAGAAGGTTTTCACACCTTTAATGCTTTCTGTTATACATATTAAATTCATCATGAAATCAAAATTGACCATTCTTATTTTTTAATATGGCAGTACTTTTTATAGGTAAAATGATTTATCCAAGCACATCATTATTGTTTTTAATTTATGTCGCCCAATAATCTTTAATCGGGACAACCTATCCGACATGAGATCAATGATCTCGATCGATGATCAATGATCAAGCGGTACAATCAAATTTCAATGGACAAAATCAAGTCCTGTCCTACATTTTTTCTTGTTTGAGAAGCCAGATACTCATATATATGTTTTACTAAGATATTTTAATCATATATATATATATATATATATATATATATATGTGTGTGTGTGTGTGTGTGTCACAATAGGGAAGAAAAGACTAACTTCCATTTCTTGACAATTTTAACAACAAAGGCTATTTTGTAGATATTCACTGGCATATAGGGCAGCGCGGGGCACAACCTAACGCAGGGTTAAATGTAACACGGACCGTTTACATAGTTCGTCAGGATCAAGCAGGTTGTCTTTCCGCTATTTTTCTCTTGCTACCAGAAGACGATCTCCCGCGAATTTCTGGAAAGTTTTGATCATATTTCGTGAAGATACTGGACAAAGAGTGTTTTGACACCATGAAAGTAATTTTTTTCATCATAGGTTTTTTTTGTTTTGTTTCTGAGTTGGTTGTATACGTTTCCAAATCTAACTTTATATTGCCTTAATCACTGTCTTGTTGGCTCAAACATAGCACCGTTTTGAAACATGTCAGTAATTCCTAGCGACTGTTAGCTAGGCTTAAAATATGTAATACACAGCATGGTTAGTTGTAACAGAGTGTTACAAACAAGCCGTCAAGTGTACAATGATAATCAAATGAAAACGGACCCGCGCAACTTTTCAGGTTTGAGTAGGCCTACATTTAACTTTGTTAGACTTTCACAAACAATGTTGGAATTTAAAATGTTTAAAATTTAGCATATGATATCTAGTTTATTTCTTAAAAATATGGCCCGTTATTAATGCAATAAACCCTTTAAAAAAAATTTAAGCTCATTATTATTACTGTTATTATTATTAATAATATAATTGTACATGCAGCTGCCACTTACAAATCTAATTTAATTGCAATTACAATATTTATAATTTTATTTATTATTATTTATTGCAAAACTATGCAGCCCTTTTCTATGTCTCTATCCATGATATTGATCCACAATAGAAGGATGATTGGATGAGGGATGGATGTATGGATATCTGTCTATACAGATGCACAATCAAACTACACAAATAAAATAGTACTGAATTATGTGTGTTACAACTAACCCCTCTATCTGTTACAATTAACCCCGTATATGGGGTAAGTTGTAATATTTGCCCTTCTGTCACTTTCAGTGCAACTGTACGAAAATGGTAGGTCCTATAAAAAACGTTAAGTGGTCATTTGTAGCAGAGATGTGTATGTTGCTTGTGTAATTAATTAAGCCAAAACCAAAATGCGTTAGGTTGTGCCCCGCTCTCCCCTATTAATGATTTATTGATTAATGCTCATTTATTTCATTGAACTGTGTTTTATTAAAACTCTTTATTCTTGAAGAAATGCATATATTTTGATGTTTTAATTTTCACACTTATTGATTCATAATCTGCCTTAGAAGAAATCTTACTTGAAAATCAGCAGTTGTCCATCTTTCTGCAGATCCCATCTAGAAGAATTGGGTAATGGACGTCCATCCTTAAACCACTGCACTGTGGGAATGGGAAAGCCTTCAACAAAGCAGTGGAGTGCTGCTTCCTTTTCAACAGGTACAGTGACATTTTGTGGGCCCTCAATGACCTTTATGTCAACACCTGTGCAATAAAAAAAAAACAAATACACTAAGTATCAGGAATGCCAGATTTGTATAATGCAAAATATATCAAAGTTGTATGTGTTACCATGCACTGTCAGAGTTGCTGCATGACTCTCTTTGCTTATGTTCAGAAGAGGATTGTGGGTGACACAAATATATATTCCTTGGTCTGTTTTGGTGATGTTAGCCATGTGCAAGGTGCCTGAAGTCTTCCTTTGACTCCCTCCTCCATACTGTCCCTAGTGGTAGTATTTAGCAAAGAAATATTATTACACTTGTCATGAAGCCCTTTCCAGTTTCCCCTTTTGGTGACAAATCATCGAATCTGGCTGCATAAAAACCAATCTCTCTCCACGGATTTGTTGCACTTTCTTTGTGGAGTTTGTGTGCTAAATCATATAAATATTGACGTTCTGCACAATCTCTGAGAGATGGGCTTCAAAGTTATCAGTTTGTGACTAGTCAGCTGGCATGTGTGATTGTAAATAGAATAAAACGTTAAAACCACACCCACAAACATTTTTAATCAAACAGCAATGCGCTTTGACTTTCCAAATTCTCATTGGTCAAGACGAAATCTTAACAGGAAATATATCACCAAACAATATATCATTTTGTAAAGGCTTATCGTATTTTAAAAGTATTTCAAAATTGTAACTGATTGTAAGTTATTTTATTGTGGCCATATTATAACAGTCTGTGACTGTGTAATTACTATAAAAGTGTTTTAGTTCTGTAGCAACCTGAATTTGGTTTCCTTTGGTGAGAACTCTGCCATTTTTCAACCATGAAATCTGAGCAGGAGGAGAACTATCACCAGAGACACACTGAAGAAACACATCATGTCCCTCTTCAGTTCTTATGGACTGAGGGTGAAAGAACACATCTTCCAGGCCTACAAACAAACAAACACAAAAATTACAATCTATAACCATTTGTGGTGGACACCTAGGTATCATCAGTCCTGTGTGTAACCACTAACATAATCTCTCTTATTTAATTTATAATTTCAATAATTCATATTTTATACTAATGCAAGATACATACATGCTTTGCTGATCATGACAGTTGTCTGAATCTGTTTGTTCCCTCTCTTGGCACTGCACGAATAGTTTCCAAAGTCTTCCTCTTTTAAGCGCGGAAAGAAAAGTGAGCCATTGGTCATTTGATGAATCCTGCTGTCCAGACCACCAGTGTCTCTTTCCCATTTCACTGGTGGAGGAGCCTTTGGGCCAGAGTCAAACACTGTGCAGTGCAGCATCAGAGAGCTATTTAAAATCCCAACGCCATCTTCTGGTAAGATTGAAAATACTAAGCAAAAGATAAAAGTGTGCAAGGAAATAAATTAATATAAAAAGATGACGTTTATATAAAGAGAGTATAATATGATGATTTTTTTAGAGATCTGAAGTAAACATAATATGTACTAAGAATGTGTGTTATTACCTTGAGTAGCCATTTCTACCTTCTCTGAACACTGTTGTACACTGAGTCTATCGTTTATTTGTGATAACACAATGAAACATGCCAAATTGTACAGATATATATTTTTTATATATATTATGAACACATGAAGAAAACAAGAGATGACAATGAAATATTAATAGAATGGCTATGTAGCAGACAATATATGATTTTTTTTCTACTGTGACCTTATTAGTTTTTCTAAAACCTAGCTGTAGTTTGCCCTTTTTTGTTTCTTAACATTAAGCAATATTATTGATCTTCATGCATTGACACTGGACAATAACACTATTTTCTTCTAGAGACAATTTTGTTCTTTTGGTACAGGCAAAACTAAATGTGTTGCATCCTTTCCCTGTAATCAAACAGGAAACATGATGAATTGAAATAATTTTGCCAGATAAATAACTTCACTAAGTTTGGTGTTTTGTGCTTCACTCATATTTCAAAATATTTTAAAAAATATATAAATATACAAATATTTTCCTCATAATTTGATGGTTCAAATAAGCTTGAAGGGTAATTAAAATAAAAAAAATAAACCCTTCACATGACTTTTGGCCACAACTGTATGTTTGGTGTGGTCAGTGTCACAATAATGCTTTTTCAGACCCTGCTTACTGTGGATTGATGAGCTGAAGTCATCAATGGTGCAATGCTGCATTTTTCCAATTTACACAAATTTAATTATCACTTTCATTTAATTTCCTTGAATTTCTTACAAAAAGCATACCTTGATGATCAACTCGATCATCATTTAACTCCAATACAACATATTTTCGTTGAAAAGTTTGCAGCCTCCTCTCTGGTGCCATCTTGTTACTCTTAGGTTAGGATGTCTCTGGCACTCTTGAATAATTTAGGGGCTGAAACCTAGTTTTGACACCTGGGAACCTTTATGAATCACGCTTTTTCTTAAGCTTAATTTTATTCTAAAGTTACTTTATGCATACGGCCCCTGGTTTATTGGGAAAAATTTTTTTCTGAAAGTCAGCTGTTTGCAATAAACAAACTAAACAAAAGTAACTGAAATAGCTCAACACAACAAGGTTGTTTCAAGAGTTTTCACCAAATGTAACTAAAAATTATTTTAACAAATAAAACTTTTAATGACTTCTGCAGTCTCAATTATTCAACCCTCTAAATAGAAATCCTCACAACGGCACAACTCTACAAAACAGGTGTTGTCAAAAGCACACCTGATGCAACTAATCACAGGCCAGCAGCCATTCTGCCCTATACAAAGCAAAAAGGCAGTAACTGCAGTTTTGGTAAAGCATTAATTATTACAATTTTCATGACATTCAAGGCATCCCCAGACAGCAAACTGACATTGAATCAACGTGGAAACGACGTCTCTCATGACATTGAAACAACGTTGATTTTGCTCATCGAATTAACGTTGAACCAACGTCAGACGCGGCATTCTTCAAAGCTAAATGAAAATCGAAAATTGGTTTGCTTTCATAACGTTGAAACAACGCGTTGATTTCAAGTTGATTTTCCGTTAGTTTTGAAAGAATGACGCGTCTGACGTTGGTTCAACGTTAATTCGATGAGCAAAACAATGTCAGATCAACGTTGTTTCTATGTCATATTTCCACGTTGATTCAATGTCAGTTTGCTATCTGGGTCCTTTGTTATTTGACAAAACATCTTATCTTAAATGCGTGTCGTTTTAGAGAAAAATGGTAGTCGTTTGTAGTAACTGCAAAAAGCCCTAGCAAAAGTAATTTTTCTCAGTTCTGCACTCTGTATAGTGCGTAGTTACTGCCTTTTTGCTTTGTAGGGCAGTATTGGCCCCCACCCCCTCTCTGTGGTAATTAAAAACCCATGGATTCTCGTAAAGAGTAGGGGTAACCTTCCTTGGCCAAATTCCATTCATTGGCCCTTGCCAATCATGGCCTCCTAAAAATCCCCATTAACTGAATTGGCTCGATCACTCTCTCTCTTTCTCTCTCCTCTCCTCTCCAACTAGCTGGTGTGTGTGGTGTGCACAAAGTACAACTGTCGCCGTTGCACGGGCTTCATTAGAAACACCAAATTTGCTTGAGCTAGAACATGTGAAATTCTGAACTGTTTGTTGACAGTCACGTTTTACTGCATGTTAGAAATATTATAAATCTGCACAAACAAGGAACAGGATACAAATAGAGAGTGAATGCACTAAATGCTCATGGAGATAGCGTTGAAAGCATAGTTCGCAAAAAAAAAAAAAAAAGTTAAAGGAAAAGTGGTTCTACCTGGACAGGGCAGAAAAAGTAAGCTATCAACTGCTGCATCCACATTTCTGAGAAGGCAGGTTCAGAAAAACACGAGTGACTGGCTGCAAAAGACCTGCAGCAAAACTTAGTGGCAACAGGCTCTAAGGTTTCAGCTTGCACAATAATGCCTTGTTCACTACATGATTTTAAAACGTTGGGCTGAACTGTGAAGTTCACACTACATGACTTGCTCTCAGTGAAATCAGGAGTGTTCAAGTTGTTTAGATGTTCACACCACACAACACAACGTGATTGATCCACAACAGGAGGTAATTCACTACACGAGTTGACAACGCATAGAGATACAACCACGATCGGATGATAAGCGCAAATCATTTTTGACTCTAATGAGAGCTCTTTCAGTACTATGGTACGGTCTAAATTCTGAAAATAATCAAATAAATAACGGGTTGACAACAACTCTGTCACCCAACGATTCTATCTTGTCTACAAACCACATTTTGTCACAAAAAAACAGCAATAAAATGAACCAGAAATGACGTGAAACAGCACGTGCGCAAATACCCAGCAAAGAAGAGAACACTACACACGAATATGGACGCCAGACAGAAACTAGTGCTGCACACTGTTTGCGCGACGATCTGCTCTGAAAAAAAAGCAAAAAAAAAAAAAAAAAAGAAAAACTAAGATTTACCTGGTGTCCTCAACCCATGCGATGCTATGATTGGCTGTACTCATGACATCACTGAGGTTGAGTCGCGTGACGGCTCTGGATATCTAGCATGCTTGATAGTTTTCTGGGCTCGGCAATGCGTCTGCGATCGTTTATGCTGCGTTGTTGGCTCTTTCATACTAACAGATTGGCAAGTGTTCATCGTCCGCTAATCACCCGCGATTTGCACGCGAAAACACCCTGACCTGTCGGCGAGCTAAACAATTTGCAAATCGGGCTTAAAGTCCTGTAGTGTGAACTTGGCTTAAGACGCATATGCTAAACGCATACCAGAACTCCATGATATACACCAACACCGACCCAAAACCACAAGAAAAGTCAGTTCCAATATGCTAAAAATCATATAAATAAGTCACAGAAGTTTTGGGATTATGTTCTGTGTAGCAATGAAACAAAACTGGGACCTTTCGGCCCTATTGGATCAGCGGTATGTCTGGAGGACAAAGAATGAAGCATATGCTGAAAAGAACCCCCTACCAACATTGAAAGCATTGGTGGTCCTCGGTGATGCTCTGGGGCTGCTTTGCAACCTCTTGCACTGGAAACCTGTAGCGTGTGGAAGGCGAAATGAATTCGTTGAAGTATCAGGAAATCCTAGGAGAAATCCTAGGTAAAGCCGTCAATGAGGAAGCTGAAGCTTAGGTGTCATTGGACCTTCCAACAAGACAATGATCCCAAGCATACCTCAGATTTCAACAAGGCTTGGTTGCAGAGGAAGTCCTGGAAGATTCTACAGTGGCCATCAATCACTTGACTTGAACCCCATAGAAAATCTCTGGTGGGATTTGAAGAAGGCGGTTGCAGCACATAAACCTAAGAATATAACAGGACTGGAGGCTAAGATTCCTCAGAAACGCTGCCAGAAGCTGGTGTCTGGTTACACCTCTCATTAGCAGCAGGTCATAACAGCAAAATGATGTTCTAAAGATGCTTGCCATGAAGGTGTTGAATAATTTTGAGACAGCAGAAGTCATTAAAAGTTGCATTTTCATTTAAATTTGGGGAAACCACTTGAGGCATTTGTTATTGTGAAACAAATGCAGCTATTTTAATTAATTTTCTTTGATTTGTTCATGAACAGAACCGGCGACAAAGGGCAGCCCTGCCGGAGTCCAACATGCACCGGGAAGAAGGCTGACTTACTACCGGCAATGCGAACCAAGCTCCTGCTTCGGTCATACAGGGACCGGACAGCCCTTAGCAAAGGACCCCGGACCCCGTATTCCCGGAGCACCCTCCACAGGCCGCCTCGGGGGATACAGTCGAATGCCTTCTCCAAATCCACAAAACACATGTGGACTGGTTGGGCAAACTCCCATGAACCCTCCAGCACCCTGTAGAGAGTATAGAGCTGGTCCAGTGTTCCACGGCCCGGACGAAAACCGCACTGTTCCTCCTGAATCCGAGGTTCCACTATCGGCCGTATTCTCCTCTCCAGTACCCTGGCATAGACTTTCCCAGGGAGGCTGAGAAGTGTGATCCCCCCTATAGTTGGAACACACCCTCCGGTCCCCCTTCTTAAAAAGAGGAACCACCACCCCGGTCTGCCATCCCAGAGGCACTGTCTCCGACCGCCACGCGATGTTGCAGAGGCGTGTCAACCAAGACAGCCCCACAACATCCAGAGACTTGAGGTATTCGGGGCGGATCTCATCCACCCCCGGTGCCTTGCCACCAAGGAGTTTCTTGACTACCTCGGTGATCTCAGCTAGGGTGATGTACGAGTCCACCCCCAAGCCCTCAGCCTCTGCTTCCTCAATGGAAGACGTGACGGCGGGATTGAGGAGGTCCTCGAAGTATTCCTTCCACCGTCCGACGACATCCCCAGTCGAGGTCAACAGCCGCCCACCCCTACTGTAAACAGCATTGGTAGGGGACTGTTTCCCTCT